CCTCCTCAACCCCACCAAAACCCCCCACGCCATTTCCAGTTCCGTCTCCTCCTTGCTCGACGACCTCTCCCTCCGCCACGCCGCCCACACCAGGCTCCAACCCACCACCTCCGGCGGCCTCTCCGGCGGCGAGCGCCGCCGCGTCTCCATCGGCCTAAGCCTCCTCCACGACCCGGCTGTGCTCATCCTCGACGAGCCCACCTCCGGACTCGACAGCGGCTCGGCCCTCAACGTCATCCAAACCCTCCGTTCAGTCACCGACTCCCGTCACCGCACGGTCATCCTATCGATCCACCAGCCGAGCTTCAAGATCCTCTCCCTCATAGACGATATCCTCCTCCTCTCCAAAGGAACCGTCGTCCATCACGGCACATTACCTTCACTCGAGGACTTTTTACTCAAATACGGATTCACAGTCCCGCCTCAACTCAATCCGCTCGAGTACGCCATGGAAATACTGGACCAGCTACAGGATAAAACTACAGAATCACCCCCGCCAGAAAATGTGCCGGAAAATCCCCCGGCCACCACCGACAGCTCGGAAAAGGACGAGATTAGATACAAAAGCTCGAGATACCACGAGATAATCATGCTGTACAGCAGGCTATGGAAAATTATCTACAGAACAAAGCAGTTACTTTTAACAAACACCTTGCAGGCATTGGTGGTGGGGATTGTGCTCGGCACTGTTTACATCAACATCGGCCTCGATAAAACCGGAATCGAGAAGAGATCGGGCCTGTTCGCGTTTACCCTAACCTTTCTCCTCTCGTCCACGACCGAAACCCTGCCAATTTTCATCGGCGAGCGGCCGATTATCCTCCGGGAGACCTCGAGCGGAGTCTACAGGCTCTCGTCGTACATAATCGCCAACACGCTGGTTTTCCTACCCTACCTGCTCGCGATCGCCGTCCTCTACTCGGCGTCGGTGTATTTCCTCGCCGGTCTCTGCTCCGAGTGGCCCGCAATTCTGTACTTCGTGCTCGTGATTTGGGTGATACTTCTGATGGCGAACTCGTTCGTGCTGTTCCTGAGCTCGATCGCGCCGAATTTCATCGCGGGGACGTCGCTTGTGACAGTGCTTCTGGCCGGATTCTTCCTGTTCTCCGGCTACTTCGTGTCGAAGGGCAGCTTGCCGAGGTTCTGGCTGTTTATGCACTACCTGTCGATGTACAAGTACGCGCTGGACGCGCTGCTGATCAACGAGTACTCATGCCTTCTGTCGACGTGCCTGGTGTGGATCGACGGCGGGAGGAGGACGGCGTGTATGGTGACGGGGCGCGACGTGTTGCAGAAGAAGGGGCTTCACGAAGGGCAGAGGTGGATGAATGTGTACGTGTTGATCGGGTTTTTTGTCCTGTATCGGGTTCTGTGTTTGGCGGTGCTGATGAGGAGGGTTTCAAGGTCTAAAAGGTGATTCAATCACAAAGGATAACAAAATTGTTTCGGGTATTATTATTATTATTATTATGGTGTGCATGTTTGTGGACGACTACTAAAACGAGCTGAGTCGAACTTGAGTTTTTTTATAATTGAATTAAAACTTGAGCCTTTATCGAGTCAAAATCAGTTTAGCTCAATAATTAATTAATTGAACCAAAACACGAACTCTTGTTGAGCTTGTTTTTCAAAATTTACAAGTTGAACTCAAATTTCAACGAACATTTTAAATAATTATGTAAGGTAGGATTCGAGTAGCTCGAAAAAACTTATTCATTTAAATTTTAGAGTTCAACTCGAATATTCCCAAGCAATTTGGAGATTTATTTCGTCTATTAAACGAGTTCAAAATTGAGTCGTTTATTAAACGAGTTTAATAATCAAATTCAAGTCTGCTCGAGCTCAATCCACAAGCGGCTTGGTTCATTTAATATCTTTATTTAATTTCGGCGCTGAGTTATAATTAGGTGTTTTGGGATTTTCTTTTCATTTTTGTTTCCTCATTCTAGATTACAGTTTGTGGTTGCAACAAATTGTCACCATCTTTTTATTCCTTTGTCCCAGACGGATAGACGTACAAAAGAGTATATATGTGCCATTTAAACTCTTTCACATCATGCAAAATTTTCGACATATTTCATTCAATACAATGACAATACTGATTTCAATACATTTATTGTCCTCTTAAATTTGTAATGACCCAATGATAGTATTTTATATTTGTCCCATGACAACGACATATAGTAGTCAAGATTGAGACCAATGCCACTAATTTTTTTTGCAGATTTTATTTTGTCCTTTTTTTATGTATCATAATTGAGATTGAAATCAGGATCTGTGCTGAGGTTCACGGGTTGTATTTCATTTGCACACACACGTGAATTGCCTTTGCCATTTATCTCTTTGTACTATTCACATATACCAATGCATGCACCCTTGGCGAAAAAAATTCCACCCATTTACTTCAATCTTAAATATGGTGAGTTTCGGTTCAAGATTTTGGGCTAAATTGTAATCTAAGTTTAAGTTTTTAATTTTGCACAATTCTTGTTTCATTTGTAATCTAAGTTTAACTTTTTTAATTTTGATAGTATAAGGAGATAATACTACAATCCGGTAACAATGAGAAACTCGCAACACCACTTTTGTTTGACTATATTTAAGAGTTCGTATTAAAATTAAAAGGTGGTTTTAATTGAATTAAGAGAACAACTTTCGGGAATGTAGTTTTTCCAATATAAAGTACGGGATTTTGATTTTTACAAATCGATGCATGCATGCATGCAGTCAAAAAATCGGGCATCCAAATACGACAGTCTCTTTATCTAACGTGGAGTGGAGGTGAAGATGTCATGCATGATGCAAGTCACAAAATAAGAAAAATAAAAGCAAAATTAAGGTTGTAATTGATATTTTTGTTTCACGCTATTATAACTTGGGAATTTCAATTCATGCATCCAATTGGGGTCATGATATTTTCAATTTCCTTCAAATATTGCAAATATGATTTTCAAAATTAACCTTAATTATTTGAGGTGTATTATATAATATAACCTTTTATTTTTTATAAATTCTTAAGTGTAGTTATTACCAACTCTGTCGGATAACGAGTGTCTCTTATGACAATTGACCACGCGCTTCGATTTGCAAAAAAATTGAGATTAAACTGCAAACGGAACGGATAAAGGAATCTAAGTATCTAACCTCCAATTTTATTATATATATTATCGAACATTGGACATCAAATGAAGTGCAAATCGACAATGAGTAATTTTGATTTATACATTTTTTTTCCCCTTTTAATGATACACAAGACATGATACATATATGGAGGTCAAAAATCATACTTTCACATCCATATTCGAAACTTATTTATAGACCTACACAATTTTTAGGTTTTCTAACAAATAACAAGCAGAACATTGTTTCTCTTACATGGCTCTCTGAATGTGTTTCTATTTTCTTTTAAATATCTAAATTGTGATCTCCGAGACATAATCAAACTTTTATATATAAAAATCTAATAAATAAGTGAGAATTGAAAATTTGTTAAGCGTACGTAGCATTCAAAATCTATATATGTATAATTATATATATATAATTGTTAGTTAAGCAATAAATTTTACCTAATAAATAAAACTTAATAAATTTTACCTACGTGGCAAATCATTAATAAAACCTAATAAATAGAACTTAATAAATTTTATTTATGTGGCATTAATACACCCAATCTCATTAATAAAAAAAATATTTCATTATATTTTTTGGGTTAATTAAGACACAAATCATTATATTTTATGTTAATTGACTAATAATTGTATTTTTTAATGAATAATATAATAGTTAATATTAAAATTAATAATTATATTTTATACTAAATAATATATGAAAGTTAAATAAAATTATATTTTACACTAGAATCAATATTTTTTTATATGATGAAGATGTTGTTTATTAATAAATTAATTTTTTTTATGTCATAGTAAAATTTCTTAAAATCACATAAGCAATTGTTATAATAAATGTAATATTTTTCAGCTAATTAATTGGTCATGATTACTCAAAATTATAAAAAGTATATATTTATTGCATTTTATGCAATCAATATAGTGATTCGTATACAATCAAATCATGTGAAATATAATACAATTATATAAATATAACTTATAATACTATATGTTTGAAATATAATACAATTATATAATTTATAATTTTTATATTATATATATAAATATAACTTATAATATTTAATTTTATTTACATCTATGCAAATGCACAAGATGGAATACTAGTTTTAGTGTAAAGAAAGAAACTAGCGGACAAGCTACAGTTAAAAATTTTCTTTTATTGCTCAAGGAAAGCAAGTATATTCCAACATAATTTTTCGAAAATGTATCAATATATGTGGAAATATAATTTTTCCACTAAAAAATATTGAGAAAAATAAATATGAAGCCTTTTGTGTCGTTCTTCGGTCCTTCGAAGTTGATTTTGTGGGTCCCTTAAATAAGACGGAAATGTTTCAATTTGCCGGCCAAAATTAAAATACTGGTCCACTTAGAATTGGGCCTTATCTCTCAAACTCCATCAATCACGCAAGCCATGTAAAAATAGTCCAAATTCATGTTATATTTGACTGCAAAATATAATAGAGGAAATTAATTACCTAGTGCACTTCACATTAGTATTTTTATTACATAGTTATATGTCACATATATTTATTTACAAAGTAACTAAAGATATCATATTTTTTTGAAAAAACACTAGATATTAAGTAACTGATAATTATATGTTAATTATGGTAACAACAGTTTTAAAGGGAAATTAATATTATATGACCAAAAACCAAATCCTAATATCAAGGAAGCAAATTTCAGCCATATCTATACTTATATTAAAAGGTATACCATTTATCAGATTTAGTATAAAAAAAAAAGTCAACAACATTTATTGCATTACTATTTCCGTATTATACAATCTATACGTATATAAAAGAAGATTCTATTTACTACATTTACTATCCAAAAAAGTCAACTGCATTAAATGTCATTACTATTTTGGTATTATAATATTTTATATATTTAATTGATTTATTTATTTATTTTATTTTAAAAAGGTAAGTATAATATAAAGATTTTAATAATAAAAAAATTAAATACCAACTAAAAATGTACACTTTGACTTATTTGATTATATTTGGTATTTGATTATACCAAATATATTCCTATTTAGTATATACATTAAATACGTACTAAAGTATTTATTTGTTTTATTTGTCAAAGTTAAGTATAGATTTGTTTATATTATCAAATCATGAAAAAATATTAAATCCATATTGTAAAAAAAATAAAAAATCATATAATTTTATAACAATTCTACTACACTATTTAACAATATTTTTTTTTATTATATAATAAAATAATAATTAAATATTATATGATGAACAACAATAAGTAAAATTGTTACTTTCTCTTATATCAAGGGATAAATATATATGCTAAAATTAAATTTTTATTAGTATAAATGTTTTAATGAGATAATATATTAATTATTTTACAAGCTAGCCCTAACATGCTCATATTTAATGTTTTAAAAGATGTAGAAAATAATTTATAATAACTCTATTGTTTTTTAGACTTAAACGTTGATTAAAAGAGGTAAAAAATTCCTAATTTTTTAGAATTAAACGTTGATTACCACCATAGATTGAGAGTTTATATTTAGTAAAATTCTTATTTGTAATAAAAAAATTAATTTTTGCTATATTTTAGAATTTCTTTAAATTCATTATAAAAAAAAAAAGAAAAAAAAAACTACAATGAAAAAAGCAAGTCAGCTATATATCGATTTGTTGCACTCCTCAAATCACATTCACAATTTGGATACAAGGAAAGGAAACTCATTGATTAAATATTATTTTGTCAGTAGTCTTAATGTACAAGAGACTTTAAGACTCCACTTGAATAGTATAATACTTTTATTGAACATTGTACAATTTTCTTGCGTATTATAAACTTTTATTGAATATTGCATTTTATAATATAATATTATCTAAATAAAAATATCTCGTGCTTCGCACGGGTCACGTACTATATATATCCCGTACATTTTTCTTTATTCATGTATATAATTATAAGTCTGTATAAATAGTCTTAAAATTGTGCACCCCGTGCATCGCACGGGCTCTGTACTAGTTAGATAATAATCTCCTATACATGTTAGACTTCAATTAATCCTCCACTAATGCAGAGCCCGTGCGATGCACGGGGTGGACAGTTTTAAGGTCATTTACCCAACCTTATTATTATATTCGTGAATAAAAAAAAATCAAATAAATAGTATAAAAAAATTATTATATATTATTAAAATCTTCTTGTAGACAACACTTTTTACCTTGTTGGCACACCATCCTCTCCGCAAACTAATATTTAAAGTCATTTCGATTAGTGACACATGAAACAACTACATACAGCTGGCCGTGACTGAATACCGGCTTCTTCAATAACATGTCAACATGTGATAACGTCTGACTATGACTCTTATTAATTGTCATGGCATAAGAAACTATTAGAGTATCTCCAATGTGACTTTTGACATTATAAAAAGTCATTCATATCATCAACTTTTCAAAGTGTGTTACTATTTTTTTCTCCAATGCATCTTCTCATAAACTCTTTCATGATGAGGTGGATGTCATTTAATGTTGACAATGTTGAGCACACTTTCTAATATCTAACACCGTATTAAACATGATGACTCATCAATTTACCTTATATTTGTTTTAATTTTTTATTTTTCTTGTATCAATAAATTATTTAATTGGTCCACATATACAAATAACTTCTTATCAAATTGATGCATTGGAAATACTAGTTTTATTCAAATTTCTAGTCTTTTAACATTATTCCAATGTGGACTAACATTACAATCACTAATTGACATGTGTTAAAAATATTGGTTTTTCAAACTCATAGCATTGGAGATGTTCTTAGGAAAAACTGTCTACGCTGAAATTTGAAAAGTACTCTAACGTCAAATGGTGTTAGAGTCATCTGATGTATCAACACCTTATCTCCTACATTGGATCCAGTTATTAACTTACAATTAAGCAAATGAGTTGATAGCTTTGTGACAACCAATCTCATACCATTGCACAACCCTACAGTATGGTCAAAGTTCTGCAACAACATAACTTGGGTTCCTATCTTAAGATTTAATTTATGGTCAGCACTCCAGAACATCTGATAGTATTCAAAAACTCGAAAGTGTGGAGATCGGATAAAAAATTATTATTGGAATCAAATTTTCACATGCTATCAGAACTCAAGTATGTTTGACCATCAGTCACGTTTAAAGGCGTCATGCATTCGTTAATAGATTCAACCACCTCCAACGTTGGGGCTAGTATAGCCCTATCTTTCAAATAATTGGGATCGTCGACTCATCATAATTTTCAAACAAAAATATATATGTATACTTAGTAATGTCACACTTATATCTATATTTTTTTTTAAAAAAAATATATAATTGTCAAGGTTAGGCATGCTAAAAAATATAATTGTCAGGGTTATATCTTTAGAAAAATATAATCTATCTATACTTATATTAAAGGGGGTACTATTTACTAAATTAAGTAGCCAGAAAAGTCAACAGCATTTATTGCATTACTATTTCCGTATTATACTATATAAAAGGATATTATATGTACTACATTTACTATCCAGAAAAGTCAACTGCATTAAATTTCATTACTATTTTGGTATTATAATATTTTATTTATTTAATTGATTTATTTATTTGTTTCATTTTAAAAATGTAAGTATAATAAAAAGATTTTAATAATAAAAAAATTAAATACCAAATAAAAATGTACACTTTGACTTATTTGATTATATTTGGTATTTGATTATACCAAATATATTTCTATTTAGTATATACATTAAATGCTTACTAAAGTATTTATTTGTTTTATTTGTCAAAGTTAAGTATAGATTTGTTTATATTATCAAATCATAAAAAAATATTAAATCCATATTGTAAAAAAATCATATAATTTTATAACAATTCTACTACACTATTTAACAATATTCCTTTTTTATTATATAACAAAAAAATAATTAAATATTATATGGTGAACAACAATAAGTAAAACTGTTACTTTCTCTTATATCAAGGGATAAATTTATATGCTAAAATTAAATTTTTATTAGTATAAATGTTTTAGTGAGATAATATATTAATTTTTTACAAGCTAGCTCTAACATGCTCATATTTAATGTTTTAAAAGATGTAGAAAGAAAACTTATAATAACTCTATTGTTTTTTAGACTTAAACGTTGATTAAAAGAGGTAAAAATTCATAATTTTTTAGACTTAACGTTGATTAACACCATAGATTGAGAGTTTATATTTAGTAAAATTCCTAATTGTAATAAAAAAAATAAATTTTGCTATATTTTAGAATATCTTTAAATTCATTATAAAAAAAAAAAAAAAAAAAAAAAACTACAATGAAAAAAGCAAGTCAGCTATATATCGATTTGTTGTACTCCTCAAATCACATTCACATTTTGGCTATAAGGAAAGGAAACTCATTGATTAAAATATTATTTTGTCAGTAGTCTTAATGTACAAGAGACTTTAAGACTCCACTTGAATATTATAAAACTTTTATTGAACATTGTACAATTTCTTGCGTATTATAAACTTTTATTAAATATTGCATCTTATAATATAATATTTTCTAAATAAATATATCTCGTGTTTCGACGGGCCACGTACTATATATATCCCGTACATTTTTCTTTATTCATGTATATAATTATAAGCCTGGATAAATAGCCTTAAGATTATGCACTCCGTGCACCGCACGGGCTCTATACTAGTTGTCAAGGTTAGACATGCTAAAAAATATAATTTATGGAAATATTTAAATTATTGTAAAAATTGATTGCAATTTTATGAAATCACCAATTTGGCAATTTGTTACCTTATAGCTATATATAGAGTTGGTCACAGCTGATATCATCACACGTCCACCAAATATAACCATGATTGAATGCATATTAATGTCTCACACAAGATTGTATAATTATTATTATTATTTAACGAAAGTACCTAATTTGAGTTATATAAACTACATTCATTTAATATTTCAGATTTTTTATTGTTTTACCATTAGCAGAGGTATAGTTGTTGAAAAGACGTAGCCCACGTTAAGTTGTTTGGTGGGATGTGTGGTCGATATAAAATGTGATAGAAAAAGTGGAATTCCATAGTCGCAGTAATTAGCAATCAGGCCAGTGCAGATATTTTAGGTTTCTAATTAAAGAATCTGAAGATATGTTAAATATCTATGTTTCAAGATCTTAACTACATATGTTTTCTTTATTTTTTTCACATTATTTAAATTTGGAATTAGGACTGAATTATGAACGTGAATAACACCTAAGACCCAAAAAAATAAAATAAAATGAAATAAAATAAAAATCTACTACGTAACACCAAATACCAAAATAATTAATTAAAATTGTTCTGTTTTAATCACATCTTAACTATTTACAGAAAAATCTGAAATACCGTATATCTTCTAAGTTATTGCACGACAAAATCGATTATCACCATTCCTAAAACCTAATCTCTAAGCCTATGTTTTAATCTCCTTGTTCGTGGCACATAATTAACCAGCAAAACTTGGTACGAAATTAGGTGATGTATGCTTGAGTTTTGCTTGAGTCAACTCAAAATAAAATTGTATTTTGAAGATTTATCTTATTAAAATATAAAATAAAAATAAAAAAGTTCTCCGAAAATTACTATTAATTAAATCTCACCTTTTACTTTTCTACCAACACAATTAAAAATGAATATAATAATAATAATAATAATAATAATAATAATAATAATAATAATAATAATAATTTTATATAATTTTAAAATTGTGCATTAATAATCCATGTACAATTTTTAAAAATATGCAGTAATAAAGCATTAACTATTTAATTTTTATTGCATTATTTTTTTTTAAAAAAAATCAACTTTTTCATCTCCTTTTTTAAATGCGACGTTATTTGCCTATCTGATATATCCAATCAAATTAGGTTCCTTACTTCCTTTTATGCATTTTGTCAACATCTGTCTGCTTTATTTTACGTTATAAAAACTTACCTTATTATTAATGGGCCCCAAATTGATGGATATTCATTAGCACACGCAATCAACGTATCAACCAATATAGAAACGATAAATAACCGATCAAAAAAAAAATATATATTGAAACGATAAATATATTATTTTAAAGTTTCAAGCGCACAACAATTATTCACCATACATTAAAAAGCATGAAAAACAACAAATCCAATCCCAAGAAGCACCCAACTGTCAATTTGCCCAAATCCCACAGAAGAATTTAATACGGCTCACGCCGTCAATTCAGAGTCACAGTCGACACGAACCGATTCAGTTCCGCCACCGACGACCCGCCCTCCCCGACCGCCGCCTCGGCCGCCCTCCTCATCTCCTCGACCCGTTCTCTCACGGCCCGGCCCGCCTTCGAATCCATCAGCTCCCTCACCCGCTTCTCCAGCTCCGCTGCCGCCACGAACCCATCTTCTCCATCCTCCAGCGGCAGCGCCACCCCCATCTCCTCCACCATGAACACCCTGTTGATCCTCTGCTCCGCGTACATTGGCCACCCGATCATCGGCACCCCGCGCATCAAAGCCTCCAGGATGGAGCTCCGGCCGCAGTGGGTCACGAATCCGGCCACCGCCGCGTGGTCCAGCACTTCTCTCTGTGGGGCCCACGACTTTATAATGAATCCCCTGCCCTTGGTCCTCTCCAGAAACCCTTCCGGCAGCAGCGCCTCCAGGTCCGGCTCCCCATCCGCCGCGCCGGGCGGGCTCCTGACCGACCAGAGAAACCGGTGGCCGCTGCCTTCCAGCCCCACCGCCATCTCCCTCAGCTGCTCCGCCGAGAACAGCCCTCTGCGCCCGAAACAGAGGAAGACCACGCTCCGGCACGGCTGCTCGTCGAGCCACTGCAGGCACTCGTGGCGGTCGCCGCCGCCGCCGCCGGACGCCTCCGCGACGAGCGGCCCGACGAAGAACGCCGGCGGTGTCGAGCCTCCGGGGACGCACGCGCCGGAGTCGAGCGCCTCCTTGGCCCGCGGCTCGAGCGCATCGAACGCGTTCACCAAGATCCCGGCCGACTTCAGCATGTTGTTGGCGGCGGAGAGGAAGTGCTGGTATATGGGGGTCCGCCGGAAAAACATGCCGTTGGGAAAATCCGATGAGTAGATCGGCGGGCAGCCGGGGACTTGGACGAAGTCGTTGAGGCTGCCGAGGTCCTGCTCGCCGATCTTCTCGTCGATCGTCGGGAAATTGAAGAAAATGCAGAGGCCAAACGCGCCGCTGCTGACGTAGAAGTAGGTGGGGATGCCGAGGCCGGTGGAGACATCGAACGCCGGGTTGCAGAAATAGTCCATTACGACGGCCCTGATCCTCGATTTCTCAGAGATCTGGAGGAGGGCCTGCCGGAGATTTGGGTTGTCAAGGCGGGAGATCTCGAAGAAGCGCTCGACGGGGTGTTTGGTGAAGTTGGGAGGAGTGGCGACGGGGGGGAGGCGGCGGTAGGTGACGGAGGGGAGGGAGGATACGGAGGAGGCGGCGGATTCGGGGGCGGAGCAGAGGATGATGACGGGGAGGGTGGGGTGGTGTTTGCTGAAGAACTTGGAGAGGATGAGCATGGAGTTGAGGTGCTCCGGCGAGGGGTACAGGACGACGGTGTCCTCCATTTTTCCGTTTGTGTTTGTTTGTTGGTTGGTAAAGTGAGGAAATGTGGGGAGANAATGGTTATTCATAAAGCTTGTGATATAAAGAGAAAATAATAAAATTACATATGATGAGATACTCATGTGCAGCCAACTTCAAATGATTTTTAAAATTTTATTTTTGAAATTTAGGGGATATGAATATGATTAGAAACCTTTAGATGTTGAAAAGTGAGCCAAAAATATGATTTCACGCAATCAACTATTATATATTTTATTTTATTTTAGGGATATGAATATGATTATAAAGGAGTACCTTTTATATATTTTATTTTATTTTGACGTTAAATATATAAAGTGATCTCGTTAGTCGTTGTATACATACTGTTATTATTGTATTCATGTACTTACGTCATCGCTCACCTCATCATGTGTTAAATTTTCTGATCTTTGAACCACATTTGACATTTCACTCTGCACGATATACTAATTTATTGGTACATTCCGTGTATTACAATAGTGTTGAGTTAAAAAGTATATATAAAAAACATTAAAATTTCTATTTAAAAAAAAATCAATTTTATGTTTATTTAATTTGTCAACCAAAATTTTTCAATCGTAATAGTAAACACCCGTATATTAAATAAAAATGTTAACTCATATTTAATTTTTTTACTTATATCATATCAAAATATCAATATTATGTACTATTACAAGTGTAGAAATATGTATATAATTAAAAAATAATAGAAATAATATGGTGAAATGTATTTGCATATGCGTAAATGTAGGATATATTTGTTGTATATTAAGTAGAGATTAATTTTGTACTTAATTAGATGGCTAGCTAATAGAATGAAGTGTCATTTCAGTCTTGCTTTGCAAGTTTTAACTTTATATGTAATTTTAGTATTTCAACAAATAAGTATTTGCTTTTATCCGACTGACAACATACCAATTAGACTTTAAATAAATGTTTTAAATGAACAATATCAAATTATTTTACTTTCGAAATGAATAAAATACGAATATTTGAGAGAAAGATTGAAAATAAATTAATATGATTAATTTAGTGAAGATATGTAATAAAAGAAAAAATGAAAGTATGAGGGTAACTATGAAAGAAAAATATGAAATAAAATAAACATTGATTGTTTCAATGAAATATAATATTTAATATATTATGACATTTGGCATGACACTCGAGCCTAATTATGTATCAATCCAAATCATAAATTAAGAGCATCTGCAATGTTTTGAGTCTAGTTTTGCTTATGTGGCACTTAAATAGACTTAAGTCTTGATGACATGAACACAAATATTTAAAAGTAACAAAATTGACTCCAATGTAAAGAGATTAAGTCTCTACTTGGGTCTAAAATATACTTAAGAATAGACTGAGTCTCTTTTTCTTGCTGCCACATCAGCATGGCCCAGTCTATTTGCACTTACATTGGAGAGTATATTTTTCTAGACTGAGTCTATTTTCTACGTGGCATGTATATTTTTTGAATGGACCTAAGAGCACCCACAATGCTTTGGGTCTCTTTTTGTATATGTGGCATATAATTGAACTTGAGTCTTAAATGACGTGGACAAACCCAAGTAAAAAACTTCAATAACTTTGCAATGCAAAAGTAAAAATACTAGGTCTAGCATATATGTCAACCAATAAAAATGATCTAATATGTTTTTTTTATTAAAAGAAAAATTAAAGTAGGAATAAATGATTAGTGTTTGAGTTTGTACTTGGGTCCAAAATAGACCCAAGTGTGGACTTAGTCTCTTTTTTTTATTACCACATAAGCTAGACCATGTCCACTTTTAATTGCATTGGGAAGCATTTTTTTATAGACTATGTCTATTTCTTACATGGCATGTCATTTTTTGTCAAGAGACCCAAAGCATTGTGGATGCTCTTAGATTCACCACATTCGGAAATTGTACATAGGGAGATTATGATTCTCTCTTTTCTTTTGTAAATCAGATTTCATTCATTATCTGTATTGTAACATAATCACACTACTACTTTAATATGATTATCCTAACTCATAAAAGTTCTGTATTGCAACATAATAAAATCACACTACTACTTTAATATGATTATCCTAACTCGTAAAAGTTCTGAAGACAATGTTCTAGTTATCATAATTTATTTGAGATGTTGAATTTTAATATTTAAGATCATAGACTTTGATATATAAACACAATATAACAAACCCAACAAGTTTTAAAATTAAAAAATATTAAGTTGTGATTCCAAATTTTTAAATGTATTTGAACTTCAATTTACAATTAATTGTAAATTAATTATGTGTTTTTTTTTGGGATCAATTGTGTAAATTTTCCTCTTGTTCGAGCAGCTGATCATGTGAGTGTTGAAAGAAAAAGAAAGTGATTATCATTTATCAACCTTTAGTTGAAATATGAAAAGGAACACAATACATTCCAACCAAAATAATACTTTTTTTTTTCTATATTGGTCTCTCGAAACCCCCATAATTGTTGTCGAGTGCCTTCCCGGAGCCTTCCCCATCGGGACTCCGACAGTGGCGTCCTTGTGCTTCGTGGCCCAATTTCCGGTGGATTGTCAAGACGCGGAGCTTTATTGCCGGTGGAGGCGTCGCCCATCCCCCAACTAGATCTCGCCGCTCTCCGTGGCGGGTTTCCGTTCTCTTCCCAACTTTGTTGAGGAGGTCTTCCGTCTTTTTCATCGAGAGTGGATTGCGATTTCGGTTCTCTTTTGTTGGGGACCGAGGTGGAATTTTCCGCCCCTCCCTTTCACGAGTCTCGTCCGGCTCTGGTGCTAGTTGGAGGGGATCGCAGATGAAGTCGGCTGAGGTCTGGGCTCTGGTGGTCTAGGTTTGGGGTTTTGGCTTTGGCGTGGTGTCGGGTGGTTCTCTGGGTACGGGTCTGGGTTGCTATCTGGATTCAGTTCGAGCCTTCGGTGACAGTTTCAGTTAGGCGTTAGTGGCAGTTTCTGGTTCTGCTTTCAGGGATGTGGCACAGTCCGCGTGGATGGTCGCCGTTGGCATCGCCGTCGTCAGCTTGGTGTGGTTCGGTTGTTGTGGGAAGGTTATATAGGTTTTTTCTTTTAGTTAAGTGTTTGTGGGGTGTTGTTGTGTTTGCTTCTTTTTCTACTGTTGGGATAGCGTTCTCTGAATTCTCCACTTTTGTTGTCTACTTCTGGGAGTTTCTAGTGTTTGTGTGTGTTTAGATTGGTTCTAATCTACTGCTGGTGTAATTCTTTCAAGATTCAACTGATAACTACTTTATACGGTCAGGTGGCTGTTATATTCGACTGTGTGGCTGGTATATAGCGTATTTATTTTTTTGAGTTTCTATAGTTCCTATCATTTCGAAAATATAATAATAATAATACTTATCATCTCCCATGTCTATTATATCGAGTTAAATTTTATTATGTTGTATGACATGAACTTTAATTATTACTAGTAACACCTTTGATTACGCGGGTGCTAGTTAAAAAAAATTATACTAAAATTCTTAAAAGAAAATATAAGAGAGAAGTATTTTTTTTTTTTTTTGTTTTTATTTAAGTTTCAAATACATTTCAAATTTTGTATGATTAAAAAATTTAGAGAGAGGTTTTTTCATTTAATTTCTAATACTTTTTATTTTCGTACATCATTATGTACATTTCAAATGAGACTCTTCACTCATATTTTTTGTCATTCTTATATTATAATAATTTTTAATTCATATGTAATAACTTTATAAATAACCTTTTTAATTAAAATATAATATTATTAATTCGTAATTACTATTAATATTAATAGATAATTTTATTTTATAATAAATAAAATTAATAATATTTATTTATGTCATATATGCAACATAGATATCAAAACAAAGCTTGTCAAAAGATAATTAAATTTATATATTATTATGAAAAATGATAACAAATATAAGCGTTATTAGCTTTTAAGTATATTTATGATATTTTAACATAGTCAAGTATTTTATAATTTAAAAAAATGCTAGTAGGTTTAGATACAGTCCAGATTACATGGATTGTCATAAATTGGCAAATACATAATAGTATTATGCAGTGTTTTCAATACCGTACCGTACCTGCCGATAATATCGATAATACCGGATACCGGCCATTGGTACGGTACAATTGTACACAGAATACCGGATTTACGATTATACCGGTTTGTACCGGGGTCATACCGTAAATACCGGAAACAACCGGTCATAAAAAAAAATAAAAAAAATAAAAAAAATATTATTAATTTAAAAACATAAAATTTAAATTGGTAGTTAAAATATTTTATTTTTATCTCATTGGTAAGTTAAAATTAATGATTATGGTCATTTATTTATTTATTTTTTTTGCATTTGGTATAATACATTTTTATATATAAATATATATATCATTATATTTGCTAATACGGTAATAGTACCGATATTACCGGTCCTACCGGTAATACCGCGTACCGGTGGCTAGACCGGTATGGCCACCGGTACGGTATTTAAAACACTGGTATTATGATTATGAACGACTAAAAGTCCTGATGGGTATATTTTGCATTAATACGTAGGAAAAGATATTCATTTTTTTTTTTTCATATCTAGTTACAAAATTTCGCAAAAAGGAAAATTATATTCAATCACCACCTAAAATACTCAATTCAAATATCTCAATTGAGTATATAAAATATCTCAATTCTAACTCAATTCATACTTACAATTTAGAAGTTTTATCGGTAAGACCCAAAAGATATGATAATTATCAATTCATGGCTTGAAAGATAAACAATATGAGACTTATATGTATCAAAACTATTAATCCAAGACCCATATAACTAACACCGTTAGCAATCCGTTTCAACAAAGCTGATGTGGCCCGTAAAAAAGCCACCTAAGTGAGCCACGTCAATTAGAAAAAAAAAATTACTAAATACTAAAAACAAAAATACTAAAATAATAATACACTCTTATTAAATACAAAAAGCTTATAATATTTTTGTAATGTTGTGTGTGATATATGAGAAACTCAAATGTCGATAATGCAATTTGGTGGTGCAGCTTACATAAAGTAATAGGCAGGGGAGTACGTAAGGTGTTAAGGTTTAAGTAATATTTGGAAGGGAATAAGAAGAAGAAAAGTGAAAAGGACATGTTTGTTAAAAGGGGTTCTAACGGTGTTAGTTCTGTGAGTCTTGGATTGATCGTTTTAATACATATAAGTTTCATATTGATAAAATTTAATCTTTCAAGCCCCGAATTGATAATTATCCTATCTTTTGGGTCTTGTACCGATAAAACTCTTAAAATTTAACTCAACATCACTATGATCAATATTATTAATATAATTAAATAATATGAACAAATCATTCTTACACATTATATCAATTTTAATTTACTATTCATCAACTCATATAATTTCAACTAATTATCATTTTATATCATCTCTCTTCTACTTTTACATCAAATCAACATTAATTATTTTATTTTAAATACTATTTAATATAAATCAAAATTCCAATAACACCTAACCATAATAATTTTTTCAAAATCTCTGATTAACTAACAAAAAACTTATTTTGAGCGGATATTTTTGTATACAAACGCGTCCTAAAAGGTGTGCGCAAAACGTGTGAATATAGTTTTTATTTTTTATTTTTTCAATTATTATGACATTTTTTCTTCTATTTTGAAAGTGAAGGAGATTTTCTTCAATCCACTTTTTCATGATGGTGGTGTAACTTTTAATTCTACATTAAATGGGGATGACTAATATACCAATAGTATGGCTGTTGACAGACCAGGTGTATAAGTGTCTTTAATACCTGAGAGCGTGTTAATTTGTATATGAATAATTTCGCTCAAAATGAGTTTTTTTTGTTAACCAGAGTTAATTTTGAAAAAAATAGTCTAGTTAGTTGTTTAGTGGGATTTTGAGTTTATATTACAAATATATTTATAATAAAATAACTAAAATTGATTTGATGTAAAAACATGAGAGAGATGGGATGAAGTGATGGTTAATTACTTAAAATTATGAAGAGTTGATAAATAGTAAATTAAAGTTGATGTGATATGTAAAAATGATTAGTTGATATTATTTAATTATATTAGTAATATTGAAAATAGTGAAATTAAATTAAAATTGAGTTAAATTTTGAATATGAATTGAATATGAAATGAAAATTTTCATATACAAACACACTAAGAAACTCTCCATCAACTAGTGTAAAAAACTTTTCTCCCTTACCCTCTATTATGAAGGACAACAATAAGTTCAAAATTCATGGGCTCCATATGTATTGATAAGATTATTACCCAAATGAAAATGATGTGATTGCAACTCTATCAACGACATTTCACTAACATGCATCCTACTTAATTAATTATCATTATCATGCATATCCATCAAAACTTAGATACACGAGTCCGTGTGCATGACTTAATTAATCATAAAATTAGTTATAAAATTTAATTTTATTTCTAAAAGAAAGATTACTTTTCAGAATTACGTGCATCCATTGACTGTTTCTTTCTAATATAATTAGCACCCTAAATAGAAGATACCTACGAATCTTAAAAGAAGATAATGCATGTATAGTTATCAAATTATCTGTTTTTTAACTATAATTGTAAATGCTATAACTTGGAAGTAATAATTTTATCTAGTGTCATGGTAAAATAAAATCACGTTTGAACTATAAACACTATGTTAATGAATTACGACTCAACTCCACGTATATATAATTCTTGCACAAAACTTGATATTTAAACCGTTGTTTTACATGTTTACTATAATTTTTAATTATTATTATTATTATTTTAAAAAAAAAACACGCTATTCAATCTAGAAAGAATCAACTATAAATCATTCATTCATGAACTGTAATACTTAGTATATTTTCAATTAAAAATACACTGAAATTTAACTTTAAAAGCATGTAATTTTTCTCTATTTACACTTCTGCCGGCACGACATGCTACCATCCATCTATCATAACCACATAGGCTCAACTGTGTAAACAACGGCCCTAATCATGGGATTTTGAGGTATAGGGAGCTCCAAAAATGTGTTCTTGGGCCTAATATATGTATCTAATTTTTGTTATTGTTAAAAAGGGAAGCAACAATACAAATTCCTGAAATAAAATAAATAGTTCAAATAAATCAAAAGGAAGCAAAAAAATTAAAAATCACATGGGATTTTGATTTTTGATTTTTTTATAAAAAGTGGTCTCCAACAGAAATAAAAAAGCACTATATATAAATGATATGACATGTGACACAGTGGGTTAGGTCTAGATCCAAGTTTTTTCATAAAAAAATATTCTTTTAAATTTTTAATAAACAACTCATGATTATTTTTTCTACATCATTTTTAACTCAACTTATTAAATTACTATTTTAATAAATCACACATAATTATTTGTTTCACATCACTTTAGACCCAAGTTATTTATTATTTTTTTTACATTGGAGTAGATATAGTCTATTTTTTCTATTATTTCTTGCATCATTCAATACTCAAATTATATTAGTATTTGACAAACTAGGTAAGAATTAGACTCAAAACATTGTCGATGTTCTAAGCGTGTTACATGATCAAATTTTTCCACGGTTTGATCAACCAACATTCACATAGATACCCAAACCGAATCACTCATTATCCAACCAAACCGATTATGTCGGTAACACCATATGCAATAACCAAAACCGGACCCAAATTATTTCGGTAAACGTAACAAATTCGGCTGGGTTTCTGTTATTTTCGGCATTACCGAAAATTCANCACAAATTGAGTTGATTGATGTATTTTGCGTGCTGCCATACTGAGAACAAAGGATATGGGAGTCTTTCAATAATTTATTGGGAGAATTGAAAATTAAGGGGTTGAAGCTGATGAGTTGTCGTACCCTAATCCTCTGTGCGTACACCGACAAATCTCGACGACATAGCTCCCGACGGCGAGCTACAGTGCATTAGGTTGTTCTGTTTGTCGATTATTTGCTGGTAGAGGTTGTTCTTTGACCTTGGGGAGTGCTAGAAAAAGACGGCGACTAGTGGCAGTGATGGTTATGTGGAGATTGAGATGGGTTCGTGGGCTCTATGTTTTTGTATGGTTCAATTAATATTGGGGCTATTGACATCACATGAAATATGGGCCTCATGGATTTATATTTTTTTTTATTTTTTTTTATGATGAATGTTGGCCTTATAGGATGGGCATAATGGAAAATAAAAAATATAGCAAAATATGTCGGTTGGGGTCGGTATTTACCGAACCATACAGATTCTAGACCGAACCCGTACAAACACAATTTCGGTTACCGACTTTCGATAACCAAAAAAATTGGTTCGATTCTGTTCATTTTTCCTTGTTCGTTCGATTCTTTTTCAATTTTCGGATAAACGCGAGCCTATATATTTGTAAGTGTTTGTGGATCAATGATAAACATTCCCTTTAAGGCCCGAAGGGTCAACAATGGAGGAACCTCCTTCCGACATGGCCGCCGCCGCCTCCAAGCTCTTCTCCTCCACCACCCTCCTCACCTCCTCCGCCTCTCCCATCAGCTCCCTCACCCGCCGCTCCACCTCCTCCGCCGCCACAAACCCATCCTCCGCCATCTCCATCCTCAACGCCACCCTCATCTCCTCCACCAAAACCGCCCGATTCACCTTCTGCTCCGCGTACAGCGGCCACGCCACCATCGGCACGCCCGCCCGCACCGCCTCCAGCACCGAGTTCCACCCGCAGTGGGTCACGAACCCACCCACCGACCCGTGCCCCAGCACCGCCACCTGTGGGGCCCACGACTTCACCACCAGTCCCCGGCCAGCCGTCCGGTTCAGGAACCCTTCCGGCAGGAGGACGTCCAGATCTGGCTCCGGCGGAGGCAGGAACCGGCCGCTCTCGTCGCCGGTCGGCGGCGACCGGACCACCCACAGAAACCGGTGGCCGCTTTTCTCCAACCCTATCGCGATTTCCTTCAGTTGGGGTTCAGAAAATAAGCCCAAGCTGCCGAAGCATAAGTAGACCACGCTTTCACTGGGCTGCTTGTCGAGCCAGCCCAAGCATTCGTGGGCCGGGCCGCTTGTACTCCTGTCTTCGGCTGCAAGAAGCGGCCCAATTGTAAAAACCGGCGGTGGAGCCGGCCCGTCCGGATTGCACTCCCCTTCTCTTATCGATTTCAGAGTCCTAGCCTCCAAACTCTCGAATGTGTTCACAATTATTCCATCTGAAATTGACATGTTGATAGAATATTCTAGAAAGATCTTGTAGTCGGTGGATTCCCGATCGAGCACCGGCTCCACCATGTCGGACGGCGGGAACGGCGGCAGGCCCGGGAAATTGAGGAGCGTGTCCCTCATGTCCTTGAAGCTCACGGCGGTCGTGCCGTGGACCACCGGGAAGTGGAGGAAGAACGCCGTGGCGGCAGCGCCGGAGGTTATGAAGTAGTACGTCGGGATGCCGAACTCGGCGGCGATCGCCTGGGAGGAGGAGCAGAAGAAGTCGATGACGAAGGCGGAGACGGGGGCGGAGATGGAGCCGAGGGCGCGGCGGACTTGGGGGTTGCTGAGGCGGAGGGTTTCCAAGATGACGGCCTCCATGGAGGGGAAGGCGTGTAGGTCGAGGTGGACGGCGGGTAGGTGGAGGAAGGTGATCGAGGGGACGGCGGAGGAGACACGGCGGATGTAGGCGGCGGTGGAGCCGGTGTTGAAAGAAGGAGGGACGGTAAGTATGGTAATGGCGGCCGATGGGTTGTGGCGGAGTATGAATTTTCCGAGCTCCACCATGGAGATAAGGTGGCCCATGGCAGGAGATGGGTACAGCACTATGGTTTCCATTTTTCTTCCTTTTCTTAATGTGTGTGTGTGTGAGAGAGAAGAGAACGAGATTTGTTTTTCATACACTTTTCTTTTGTTTGTGTTTATATAGAAGAAAATATGTGGTCTTGGTTGATGGTTCACTCATTTAGCATGTTGTTTTTGGTCCTTTTTTGTTTTCTTAATAATTAATATTATTTGGTACAAGTATTGGTGATGTACACAGGTTCATTATTGCTAATCCATATATATAATGTTAGGCTAAAAAATAGGATAATTATTTTTCTTATAATTTATAATTATATTATTTATTTATATAATTATAAATGGCTACTGCTAACAAAACATAAAGTCACATTGAATTATTTTTATTCTAAAACTTTCTTCCAAATTATTTATTTAAATTTATTGTTTATTTTTCCACTATTCATAATTTTTTTTATTAAAATTAATTAATTTTTTATGGTATAATTGAATTCCTTAAAATTTCATACAAATTTGCAATAATAAAAAATTTTATATTGTTTTATCTAATTAATTGGTTATAAACAGTCATTATATTATTGCAATCAATACAAATACTAATATGTAATTAAATAATTTATTTTTATATCGTTAATTTGTAGACAAGACAAAATTTTAAAATGGGATATATTCATTATCTAACTTATAATTTTAAATATTATATATACACATATAATATATAATTTTTTATTGACATATGGACCAATACTAGGTTTACCAAACCTCTAATTGGCCGTCGATCGCCTTGTGATATGTGAGAAATCTTGTATTATTTTGTGGTTTAATTTATATATTTGAGTATTTGATTTTAAGGTATTATTCAAGTTTTCTTACGTATTTTATTTTGTGAGCGGACATACACCAATATTCAGATTTTATGTTTATTTTGCAATTTTTATGCATATTAATGATGTGGCAGCTAAGTAGGCGATGATGTGGCCGATAGTTGAAGAGAAATTAATTCCATGGCAATTGGATTTATACGAGAGAGTGACTTGGAGAGTAAATTCCAAATTGTGTTGGACTAAAAAAAATATTCATGAAGAATTGGGATGAGGATAGAGAATTGGAATTGAATTGGACTCTTAATTTTGGAGAGATCTGTGTGGGACAAGCATTAGGGGCGTGAGGAATTAATTGGAAAGGAGTTTATGTTGGTTTGGGGATTATTATTTTGGCTGGTGGACCTACGTGGCATGATTTGAGTGGATAGAGGAAATTAATTCATCTTGCTTAACTAGAAGACATATGTACGTGAACAGGGGGCTACCAGGAAAAAGAATGGAGTTTTCGGATAGCTGGTCATGCGGGAAGACTGACATTGGATCGTGAATTATTTGCTGGGAGTTTCATTTATTTAGTTTATTTGCTTTTCTTTATTTTGATTGAAGAACATGAACTTTTATTATTATTTTTTATTATTTATCTATGTGTAGCTAAATACTTATTTCGATTCTAGGGACGTTGAACCCTCGATGACTATGTTTAATTAATGCTATTTATTTCGTTTTACTCGTCGTATAAAGTTGATTGTGTTATTCTATTTTCATGTCATAATGTGTGATTTTTAATTTAGCTTGATCACCTAAGTTAGGAATTGCATGTTAATTGCTAGAGTTGAGGCTTCGATCCATAATTGTCGTAGTTCTTAATTCAATTGTAGCAACTAACAGTCGTGCATGTTAGGGATAACTCAACATAAGTTACATGAACCGAGCTTATGTGTTTGTGGCTTAGATCGGTCTATTTTCCTAGATTTTAATGCGACTAGTGGGTTAAATTAGGAGAGCTTATTCCGAGTTATTCGCTAGTTAGAATTAATTGAATAGCATATTTCGATTGAGTAAAAATTAAGGGAAAATTCGGGTAGCAGAGCTTATTGCTATCTAGGACCGGTAGTTTTAGAAGACGAGTGAAATTTGATAAAACATTAATTGGACTAGTTATTCGAGGGTGTAGACCAACCTGGGACCGATTTCATTCTCATTTTTATTAGATTATTTGTTTATTTTCGATTTCGTCATCATTTGCATTTTTGTCATTTATTTCTAGTTTCTAGTTTAATTTTTCTTTTTGCTAGTAGTTTCGTTTCTAATCAAACCCTCCCATTTTTGCTTAAATCTAATTAATACAAAATAATCACGGTTTATACCACACTCCCTGTGGATCGACCCTTGCTCGCCACTACTACTAGTTAGTAGGGTTAGACGAGGAAAATTTTATAAATATAAATTTGCCGTGTAACGACACGCGGTCACCTTGAAGTCTTCTCGAGGAAGTTTGTTGATCACTCACAAGCCTGAATTATGAACTGATAAAGTTGATGGCACCGCGCAGCCTGTCACATAGATATGGATACACGTCGCGTCACCCTACGCCCCTAGCTGACATCTAACATTTAATACGTCATCATATTTTTTTCTTGTTTAAATATCGACCCCCTCTGGTTCCAAAAAGAATAATCGATCAATCATCAACACCATATCACTACACCCTCATTACATAATTTTCTCACTATCTGATCTTCTGAGATCATACCCATTTATACTCATCATTCTCGACTATATGTTCATTGTACAAATTTCCTAATAAAATTTTGGAGAAACAATCTCCTTGCCGATCGCCACATTCTATCAGTAATATCGGTGTCTTGCTTTTTTTTTACGAACACTTATTTTATCTCGATCTATTATATTTTTTATTATTAAAATATATTATAAATATTTCGTAACCTTGATTAAACCGTTTTAAATATATTTTATGTAACCATTGGTGATCTACCATCAACATAAACTATTAATTTAAATTTACTTTCTCGTTAGCGTGAGATTAGTGGGGTGTTTAAAAAAA